CACGTTGGATTGTCGCAGGTCAGGTCAATTCAGGTCAACGTCCTCACCTCCCCTCTTCCAAATTTCCCTCGCACTCGCATTACCATCTGTCCTTCCTTCTCTATCCTAATTTTCCACCTTTTCCAATGACAATTGTTCGTCGTTTTTTTTTCTTCCAAAGATCCAATGCATAGTTTTATAGCATCGTTTCTTTTAAATTTTGAGAATTATTTGATTCTCATGACGATCGATTAGATTTGAATTGTAGGCAAAATTTTTAATAAAATCTCGATTTGTGTTAAATTCCAATTTTTCCCCCTCGTTTATCGGGGGAAATGCAATTGATTGGAAAAGTTGGCAGCGAGAGTTTCGTTTTCATTTGATAAAATTCTACTTTAACGCGTGTTAGAAAAAAAGGAAAAGAAACGAGGCTCTCACGCAATTTCGCGATGCAAATTATTGTGCCGCGTATCAATTTAGCGCGTCATAGAGGCAATTATGCGTAGGCCGCAGCTCTGTACCGTTGATCGCAATCTCTTTTCATTATATCGGATTGTTTATTCCTCGGTAAATATCACTGCCAACGATCCGTTTAGTTTTCTTATTTACTCCCGAGTCGAGTTTTGCGCGTTCGTCTCCGTTCTCTTTTTGCAAAACCATAAATCACGCTCGTGGAAAAAAAAAAAAAAGAAAAAGGAAAAAAAATTGTTTCGAACAATTTACCGTTGCGAGAGTGCAGCTTCGAAATTAGCATTTTAATGTGCTCGAGTAGAAAAAAAAAAAAAAAAAAAAAAATAGCGCGAGTTTCTTTCATCTCTCGATTCTTTCGTCGTCCATTTGTAGCACGTACGATGATACGAATTTATTTAGGAACAATAAAATTTATCGTCTATATTGAAATTTTGAATCAGCTCTTGAGTGAAAAGTGTTTTGTCACGTATAATTTGCCACGATAGAAAACAGATGATAGCAAAGTTTGTTATCTAGTATTGAAATTGTATTGAAAAATTCAACTGTCCTTAATTTATAACATCACGTCAGAAATAATTATCTTTTTAAATGGATTTATTGTCTCGTTAATTTCTTTTAAACAGGTATATTTCGTATTTAATTCGTAATCGTAGTCACGATTACGAATTACTCTCGTTTAAATTCGTGTTGATCAGAAATGGTAATTCGTAATAACGAGATATTTTAGATTATTATGGATATGATTGCTTCTTTTTTTTTTTTTGATTTAAAGTTAGGAAGTTTAAAAATAGAAATTGGAAAATTTTATAATCCTATTTTTCTGGATACGTTCGATATTTTAAACCAGTTTATTTTACTTTCTTTTGCTAATTTCGTTTGCATTGACGTGGATAGAATGTATAATTAACTTATAAATCAATAACATCGATCTTCGCTTGTAATATCATATCGCTGATATTTCTGCAAATTCACATTTAATTAGAGAAATTTTTTTAATTAATTGCAGAGAGACAGGCTCTAATTACTTACATTCAGAACAAAATTTATAGGAAAAACTTGAAAACTGAATTTCATTGTTCGTTGTAGCAATTAAAGAAGCGGTTGTTGTAGTTGAAAAAAAAATTTCTTGAAAAATATTCCGCTTCTTTAATTGTTGCAACAAGCAATCACTTGTTTTCACATTTTCTTATAAACTTTACGTAAAATGTAACATTTGATTAAATTTATTGATTTATTCAATTTAAACGTTTGATTCATCTTTTTTCTTTCTCTTCATTTCTTTTTCTTTTTTTCTTTTTTTTTTTCACAAATTATCGATCGATATAAGATAACAGAAAGACGATATTAACTTTCAATATCGAAAATTATCAACTACGGTTGAGATCATCAAACGCGCTAATTATTCACGATACTCGACTACTTTTCGCTCAATCGAGTCCCAAACTCAGCCGCAATCCCGATTCATCTCAATCTCTCCAACGACAATTAACCACTCTTCCCCCTCCCCCTCTCATATAAATAAACACCTACCTCCATTCTCCACCTCTCTCCATTTTCCACCATCTTCTTTCAAATTGGGTTCAATCGTCCCATTCCGTCATCATCTTCCATTCCAACTCGATCGAATCGTCGCCACCTCCTCCACTCGTAGTATCAATTAGTATCGACGATTACTATCTCTGCATTATTCATCCCTTCGCATCTGACCCGCTAATTAAATCCCACAGATCTCATGTAATATCCTTAACAAGCGGCCAAAACGGTATTGACTCACAAATTTCTTCTTCCCCCTCCTCTTCCTCCCTAACACTTGGCTATACAACTACATCGGATTGGTGGGAAAATCCGCGCTACGAACATCTCTTAATCTGCGGATTAAGATGATTTTATATAACAAATTAAAAGTTGACGAGGACACATACTCGAACAACTTCGTACTTCCTCTGCAAATAAATGTTTATCCTTCGAATCTCGAAAAGATTTATCAAAAATTATAAATTAATTTTCACAAACGTTCACACGAGTTTAAAAACTCGTTTATAAACTTGTTATCGATCAGTTGTCCCGATTAAATGTTCACACATCGATCGAATCAAAGATCAAAATCACTTTTTCAAATACAATTTGAAATACAATTATTGAAGATATCTTGTACGGGATATCCTCTCGTATCGAACAAATGGAAAAAAGGAAGGCAAAATCCTAACAACCACTTCCAAATCCATTCACCTTTCCAATCGTATCGCGCTATCTTATCTCGAATGCATTGCAAAACTGTGGAAACGTTCGAATTTCATAGCGGTGGCCGAAACGGTGTGCAATAAATGGAGCACACACACACACACACACACAGAGAGAGAGAGAGAGAGAGAGAGAGAGAGAGAGAGAGGAGGAGGAGGAAGGAAGGAAGGAGGAGGAGAAGAGAGAGAG